GTCTTTAGTCATGTACTAACATTTATACTATGGGAGGCTAAAAACAGGAGGATCACTACAAGTTCGATCAGTGTAGTGAGACTTTGTAGACCATGTACTAAATACATTAAAAAACCCACTCACAGTATTTACACTATCATTTATTGAAAATGAAAGCCTTTTCAGAGAGAGGTGGTAAATTATGTTGTTTGGTGTCTCCTTGGAGAGGGAACTAGAGTGGGGTCTCATCTGTTGTACATATAAGAAGTTAGTTTGGGGCTGGGGAGATAACTCAGAGGTCTAAGAGCCTGCTTGGTAAGCACAAGGATCAAGGTTCGATCCCCTGTACCACATGCTGTGCAGGCCCTAGGCACCATGTTGGCCCTAGAAACCAGAGGTGGTGGTGCATGCCTATAATCCCAGTGCTAGGGAGGCTGAGACAGGAGGATCACTATGCGTCCAAGCTGTGTAGTAAGACCCTGTACTAAATAAATAAATAGATAAATAAATGATTACAAAAGAAGTTGGTTTCTTTTATTCATTTTCAGTAAATTTTAAAAACAAAAATCCTCATATTATAACTAGGTGCTAGGTCTCTGTGTTCTTTGGCATGAATTGCCTGACACTTTGGCTTTTCCGTAACAGACACACTCAGACATACCTCAGACCATGCATTTTGTGCAAGCACTGGTGGAGAATCCATGAGCTGTTGGGTGTGTGACCAAACCTGGGTGTTTATAAGCATGCCACAGAGAATTTCTGAAAATTGTGATTCCTGGGCCTCCTCTCCTAGAAATTCTGGTTGGATTTATTGTGGGTTAGGCTTAGGCACTGGTAATTCCTTTCACATTGCCTCTGGTTATCATTATGTGCAACAGGGTTGAAAAACACTGGGGCTGTGCTGTCATATCTTCCTTAAATTATAGTCTAATCTATTTATAGGTAGACTCCAATTGGTGGCCATCTGGTAGCCACTCCACTTAACTTTGTTGAAAAGTGTGCCACTAGGCAAGGTTCCTGCCTCAGCTTTTGGGCAAGTTACCCAGAGCAATTTCTCTTCTTTAATAAGTAGAGGAGCAAGTGTTTTCTTATTCCTAATGCTGGGGTCTGAGTGAGGGTATGCTTTATTTCCCCAAAAGCTTGTCAATTGCTTTAGTCCATTGCAGAGACTCAGAACTCAGAAGTTTTGATAGCTTCATATGGAAACTTTACTACTGATCCAAAATTAGATATCCTGATTTGGCAGAAGCTGGCTATGCCCAGGAAAGAATGGAAGGGGCCTATCACTCATAGCCTGGTTCTGAAACTAGACCATTGTCATTCCCTGGGTGTAATCCTAAGTGTGGAATATACCCTAAATATTGAACTCTTTGAAGCCTTTTCTTTTCTTTTCTTTTCTTTTCTTTTGGTGGTACCAGGGATTGAACTCAGGACCCTGCACTTGCCAGGCAAGCACTTATTCTACTGAGCTATCTTCCTGGCCCAAGCCTTTTTTTCTGAAATGTCATATCTATTCAGCTAGAAATTTGAGAATTTGGATAGTATTATGGTTGGATTGCTTCCTATTTGTGATGCAGATTAGAATATCATCTACATATTGTAGGACATTCCTATGTTAGCTCATTTCCTACGTCTGAACAAAAAAGTGGGGACTCTCTGAAAAGCCTTATGGAAGAATAGTCAAGTATATGGCTGTTTTTCTTTTGAGATGGGATTTTCCCCCATTCAAAAGCAAGCAGGAATCGGGAGTCTTGATGGAGAGAAATAGAATAGAAAATATCTTTGGGGTCCAAGACTGAGAACTGACTTGTTTCTCCTGGAATTTAAGAGAGGATTGTTTATGAATCTGCCACGAGAGGATTTATTTGTATTACAGCCTCATTAATGAAGTGGAGGTCTTGGGCCAGCAAGATAGCTCAGCAGACTAAGCACCTGCTTAGGCAAGTGCAGGAACTGGGGTTGGATCCCTGATACCACATAATGCGCTGGCCCCACCCCTGGGTGCACTGAGCTGGCCTCCTACGCTGGGCGTGGGGGTGCATGCCTGTAATCCCAGCGCTGGGGAGGTTGAAAACAGGAGGATCACTATAAGTCTCAGCTGCGTAGTGAGGCCCTCTACCAAATACATAATAAAATAAAATAAAATAAAATAAAATAAAATAAAATGAAGTGGAGGCCTTTTACCATCTGATATTCTTCTGACCAGAGAGTAGGAGTATTGCAAGAGTATTGACAAGGCCATAGAAGACTGTGCTTGAGAAACCTATCTATGAGAAGCTGGAGGCCATTACAGGCTTTTTCTTTGATAGGATAGTGTTTTTGGAAATTGGCTGGAATCTTTTACTTGTATAATTACTGATATTGATAAATTTGCCCTTCCATGCACTCTCTTATACTATACAGCAGGATCCACTTGCTGACTAATTAGGTCAAGGAGGTATGATATAGTCTCAACAGAGAAAGTATACATTTGGCTGGAATTGAAGAACTGCTCCAAATTTAGTAGTAAATTTCTTCGTAGTAAGAGAGTAGTACACTGTGGTACAGCTAAAAACTCATGATTGAACATTTGACCTTTGAACTGACATATCACAGCAGGAGTAAAAAAGCTGTGACTGGGGCTCTCCTCAGCCCTGGCTATAGGGAATGTTTGAAATGTGTCACAAATCACTGTGGTACTTGTAGACCCTGCTGTAGTTTGGATGAAGAATGTCTCCCATGCATCATGCACTTATCTGTAGCCTTTTGGAAATGACTGGATCATAGGGGTGCTATACTCCCCCACTGGAGAGTTCAGGGACAGTGTGACATGGGGAAGTAGAGCCTTGTCACAAGGGGCAGGTCACTGTGTGGATGACACAAGGGTACTGGCTCCTCTTCTCTCTGCCTCACAGCTGCCATGATGTAAGCACTCACCCGCAGGGCACTTTTCACCACTCTGTTTCTGTGTTTAAGTCTGCCAAACATGGACTGAGATTGGGAGCCAGAATAAACCTCTTCTCGTTTAAGTCGCAGGTGTCCAAATCGAGGAAAGTGAGCAAACAGCTCCCAGAAGTCCAGTTTGACTTTGAATGCAGTCACTTTTTCTGAGAACTTGGATATGGTTGTTCTTTCCTGAAGTGACAGACTCTTTTGGTGTGTGGACAGACTCCTCCAAATATTTTTTCTTTTTTAAAGAATACAAAATAATAATTTAAAAAACCCCAGCATTAGTTACAATACAAAATTTCACTAAACAATAGTGAAATCAACAGTGGTTGCCGTATTGCATGATGTTATCTTTAAATTAGTTGTTTAGGTTACCAGATATAAATGTATAAAATTGGCTTAAAAACAACAACTATAAAAGCTATAAGAAATTAAAAAGAAAAAAAAAAGAAGAATAAAAAGAAAAAAACTAAGCATTAACTACTACTTTCAAAAGACCAGCAGAAATTGGCAATAGAAGTGACAGATTGAGTTGGTTAAGTAGGTTGAGTATATCACCCATGTAAGAAAGGTTTTTTTCCCCATAATTTTATTGAGAAACAAATAGCAATGAGACAGTTTCAAATCAAATTGGTAGGACAGTTTCAATAATTAACACATTGCATACATTCTTCCTAGTGGTTAATTGCTGTACAAGATGCGGACATGATATCCTATCTACAAACACCATTAGAACAAATCCCCCTATTCATTAAGAGAATGTAACTATATATCTATCCTAACTGCTTTGAATACACAGATACAAAATGGTCATTCATCTGTATCCCCTTTTTTTGTTAAGTTCCTTTATTTGAATATTATAGGTGTGTAAACTCAGCAAAATATTCTAAAAGAGTCCAGTAGCCCATGTAAGAAAGTTTTGCAACACATTCTGTGTCACTGAAGAGTGATGCCAGTGATATCTGTTTGTTTTTCTTTAAAGGAAATTTCTGGAGTGGTTCTTCTAACCAAGTAATTCTGACAGTGCTCTACCTTTAAAAAGCTATCTTACTTCTATGTATAAGAGCAAAAATATGTTGTGGTGGATTGACAACTTGTGGTCAACTTGTGACTGAATCAACATGGTGCTGGGTATGTGAGGCCCGCCTGAGTGTTGCTGCCAACAACATAAAAAGGATAACTGGAGAGGAAGAAAAGAAAATCTGTGAGGGAGCTGTTGGTTTTCCTGGAGAAGCCTGTCATGCTGGTGTCCCTGACATGAGCATAGCTGTTTTCACTAACAGTATTTTTATATGAGCCTGCAAATGATTTATTTATTTATTTATTTATTTATTTATTTATTTATTGGTGGAACGAGGATTGAACTCAGACCCTTGCACTTGCCAGGGAGGCACTTATTCTACTGAGCCATCTCCCTGGCCCTGCAAATGATTTATTATGGTCTCTCTGCAGTCTCACATCTCTGCTATGCTAACCTGCATTTGCATCTACTCTCCAGGGCTAGCATCACTGCCACAGCCCCACATTCAGATCATGAGGAATTAGATTTTCATAAATGTGTCACAGCTTGGCTCCCTCACACGTGCAGTGCGTGGTAAGGTTTTTATTCCTATGAGAGTCGAATGTTGCTGCTGATCTCACTGAAAGTGGTGCTAAGACAGTAATGAAAGTGATCCACTGTAAATACAAAGTTTGGCTTGCTCAGCTGCTGCCCACCTCTTCCTGTGCAGCTGGTTTCTAATAGGTCATGGACCAGCATTTATTTGTGGTCCAGGGCTTGAGGATGCCTTGCAGTGGAATACATCACAAATCTATGCTGAGCAGAATGAGGAGATCTCCGTAGTGAGTTGAGCAGGAAAAGCAGGTCATAAACATCAGAATATAGTCTCACATATATAAAATTATTAAGGTATTCATGAGCTGTATGCATGGGGGATGTTGGAATAATGGTCACCACAGTCAGCTCTTCCCTCTTGTTAACTTGGGGACTTTTTCTTCTTCCAAGTGTATATGTTTCTAAAACGCAAGTGTCTATTTGAACATATATTTGAAAAAAAACCATAAAGCTGTCTTATTACTTTTTTCCAGGTGCACATCAAATAAGTAATATGCCCATGTTGTAACAAGGTTGAGAGAGGCACATCTCATGCATAAGGTATGAATACCCAATCATCTCGCACATGAACCGAGGGATCATAAAGCTGTTTTTCATGGGAAGTAAAGGAAAAATAAAATCCCCTCATGTTTCCTTTTTAACAGGATTACTTGGGCAACACTGCCCAAGTTCAGACTCCAATTTTATTTACTTATTTATTTATTTATTGGCGAAACTGGGAATTGAACTCAGGCTCTTGAACTTGCTGGGAAAGTACTTACTCTACTGAGCCATCTCCCTGGCCCCAAAGCATTATCAGTGATTGTTCCACACCAGTTGGATTTATTTTTTCCAGAACCAGGGATTGAACTCAGGCCCTTGTGCTTGCTGGGAAAGTGCTTATTCTACTGAGCTATCTCCCCAGCCCCTATTTTTTATTGACCTGACTCCCAAATTGGTACCCAGTTGTCCCTGCAGAAAGTGCAAGGCTAGTACTCCTCACTTTTCCATCTCTCTTTCTAGAGTTTCTAAGACTTATCACAGAGCTTTTTAGTGAAACAAAGCAGTAAGTAAGTAAATAACTTTAGTCCTTTCCTAATTGAAGGGCCTATGCTATCATAAATAATTTTTTCCTAAAGAAAAAGTAGATGATCGGTTTCATGTAAAGTAAATCTGCCTGTAAGTTATATCTAATTGAAACAGATTTCCTGTCTTATAATTAAATAATTTTAAGGACTACTAGGGAAGACAAAGGATGTGTTTTGTATATCGGTTGCCATGGTTTTTACTGAGGACAGGATATTTAAGCTTACCCTTAATTTGAATGGACATGGGTCTGGCTTTTCAGGGTTATAAATGGTGCAACAGACAGGGATGTTTTTAGATTGAATGGGAGCCTGCTATAGTAACAGCTAAAAATAGAGGTCCAGTGCTTTAATTAACCCTTTAGCTATTAGATTGATAAATAAATTATTGGTTTTTTTAAGAGATATGGTATACCAACAACAACCACAACAGAGTTGGTGTTTAATTACATGAGCATCTTTGTATCTTGATATTAAAGAAATACTCATCTATGTATTTAAGAGGCTCATTTTAGCTTTAAAAATCAGCTAGTCAGTTCCCATGGCAGCTTTACTCTGTTGAAGGATTCCAGATTGTAACCAGTTTAATGCTTTTAGCTGGTAATTTCCTTTTCCATTTGCAAATAGCGCTTTGGAGTAAACAGGAGGTGGACTTATAATAGTTTGTCCTTGATTCTATTATCCATATCATTTTATGTAGCATGCCAAGTGTTATTAAAGTGCAGATGATCTCTGTATCAAAGACTTTAACCAGTGATGGTAAAGGAATCTATAAAGCCTGGATAAATACACAGGTAATAATTTCTTTTCAATGACTTTTGTTGGAAAGCACAGGGGCTCTATTTCCCCTCTACCCAGGCTTGCAAATGCTCGCCAAGCTACATCTCCAGCCCCACTGGGTTCTTTGATGGGCACACTGTAGTTGGGAAAGCTCATTTAAATTAGAATCAGAAAATACAGTTTCTAGTTCAGTGTTGTGGTTGGCTAGCTATGGGCTTTGGGGCAAATCACTTAGCAAGAGCCTCTGTTGTTTGTTTGTTTGTCTGTTTTTTTTTTTATTTTTAATTGCAAACTGTTCAGTTTTGAGGATGTTTGGACCAGACAGATTACCCATTTAAAAATTTTATTATTTCCTATTTTAAAATAACTGAATAATTTTAAAAATAAAATCCACATGGAAGTCCATTGTGAGAACAAGAAAAGGGGTGTTCTAATATACATTGCCATGGGGCTGGAGGAGTCCTAAATGTTCCTTTTTTGTCCCTTCTCTGATCACCTAGGAAACATCAAGAAGGAGCCCACAAGGCTCTGGAGAGCACAATTTGAGTTCTTTTGGTATGTTTTGCTCATTTTTAAAAGTCAATCGGTGGCTCTAGGAAAAACCTCAAAAAATGAGGCAATTAAAAAGTACGCCATAGAATATGATGCCAAATATTTTTGGAAAGTAGGATTCCCTGTAGTACACCAACAAGAGAAAATACAATGACTTCCAAAGGACAATAATTTTTATTTTTAGCACTGTGGGTTAGAAAACTTGCTTTGACTTTCCTGATATTTGACATCCAGGGGCTTTGCCTTTCCCTGTCAATTATGAGACCGTAGAAGAAAACGATTTACTGCCTGATGGCTGAGCTCTGCTATTTTGTCTTTTTGCAAAATAAGCTTCTAAGTTGACTCATTGTGCCATAAGTGTTGAATTTTTATTTTATTTTTGGATTTCTTATGTCTTTGCACAGTCCACGAACTCCGTTATTCTCAATCATAGAGTGCTGTGGCAGTGTGATGACTTGTCTACTGTCACTGTTAGTCTAGCCTTCATCACAATTGATGTGGAAAATTTTTATTTACAAAGGATAAAGAATTCTAGTTGGACCAAAGACTATGGGTTCACCCAGAGAGACCTGAACTTGGGTTCCCAAATGGATATTTGTCTTAAAACAGAACCAACATTTATTCTTTTTTTTTTTTTTTTTTTTGGCGGAACCAGGGATTGAACTCAGGCCCTTGTGCTTGCCAGGGAGGCACTTATTCCACTGAGTCATCTCCCCTGCCCCACCAATATTTATTCTATGTATACAAGGTATGGATTACCAATGATAGCTTGGTAGTTTGAAGCAGTTGGTAATTTGAAAAAGAATCACAAACCTCAGACTTTCGTCATTGTTTCAAGCAAAATTTCAGAACCAACACTGAGGCTTAATCTGATAACTGCCTCCATGAAGCGTTTACCAGCTGATCTTCACAAAATCAATTCATTGTGGTGGAATCTGCAGCTGGAGCTATGATCTACAGCTTCACAAGAATAAAGCTGAATAAGAGTACTCTGGCTGAACGTTGTGATATCTGTGAGAGAAAAAAAAAAAAATACTGTGCGCAGCCCCAAGTGGATAAAACTGGCATTTACATTGTGCTTCTTCCACTGTAATATAAATCATTTATCGAGTAGTCATATCAACCACCCCCCACTTGTTAAAATAGACCAAGTATTTCAGTACTGAAAGGCAACTTTATAAAGCAGCAAGAAAATTGAAAATGGAAGGAAATGACAGGCTGGAGACCTAACCTATTTCTTCCTTTTTCACTTTATTTTATTTTATTTTTCCTCCTTTTTTCACTTTAAACCTGCAAAGTGTGATGCATATTTAGAGAAAAGTATGCAAATTCCAGGTAGCTGGATTTTACCAACCTAATACACTGGTGTATTAGTAGCACCCCTAACAGGAAACAAACCATTAGCAAGTCCCGCTTTTGCTTCATCTAGACACCATCTTTCTCCTAAGGTTAGCTAATATCTTGTCTTCTCATAGCATAGAGTCATTTTAGCCAGTTTTAAACTTTCACATGAATGGGAGAGTGCCATATGCATTCTTTTGGGTCTGACTTCTTGCATTTAACTTGGTCTTAGTGAGGCTCATCCATGTGGCTGATGGTTGTTGCTGCTTGTCCATTCTACTAAAAGAAATACTACATTGTGCAACTACCTCTGTTGGTACATTAGTTCTGTTGCTGGGTACCTGGCGTGTGTGTGATACTATGGGTAGCATTCGCTTTCCTGCTGCTCAGATACAGTACTTGACATCCACAACTTCAAGGAAAAGAAGTTTAATTTGGCTCATGGTTTCATGGCTGTTGGCTGCAAGATAGAAACATCATGGCAGAAGGGTACAGGGGAGCACAGATGCTTGTTTCAAAGAAGCTGGAAAGCAGAGCAATGCTGGAACAGTGCTGGAAAAGAAGGAGCCGGGGCCATTACAGTATCCATCTACACTTCCATGAGCACCCAGGTCCGTCCAGAAATGTGCTTTCCTCATCACCTATGACTTCCAAGCCAAGTTGACAGATAAGCTTGTGTGTCACAGTGAGGATCAATCCCAGGGCCCTCACTTTGTCCTCGCCCATCAAAGAAAAAAATTGTTTTTTGAGACAGGGTCTAAGCTAAGTTACCAAGATATCTAAGTTGACCTTGAACTTGTGATCCTTCTGCCTAAGCTTCCTAGAGCTTTCTGGGATTATGGGTCTCTGTTACCATATCTGAGGGTTTTGGGTTTTGGTGTTTACAAAGTATGCTTCTAATGAATGTTTTCAACCATATCTTTTGGGTATATATCTGGGAATGTAATTTCTGTGTCAGTATAAATGCATGTCCACATTAATAAGTACTGCCGCACAGTTCTCCAAATGATTGTCAATTTATACTCTACAGAAGTGGATGAGAACCTTAGTTGCTGCAAATGCTTGTCAACACCTGTAATATTCTAGTAGGTGGATAGTGGCATACATTGTGATTTTTTAAATAATTTTTTATTATTATTTATTTATTCATTTATTTTTTGTGTGTGGCCAGCTCAGCCCACCAGGGGGCAGGGCTGGCTGGCATGTGGTGCTGGGGGATTGAACCGTGGTCCCTGTGCTTTGC